TATCAACAAATCGTGACCTCTTCACAAGCATGGACTTTGACACTATGCATATCTGATTCTAAAACCTCGGTTGCTGCTGAAAAATGTTGATTTTAGCAGTAGGCAAAGGTTGAAAGTCAGCTAGTGTAATCATTTATTTACGATATATAATTATATATTAAAGTGAGAGTGTCGAACGCACTCTCATAATCTCTGATTACTACTAGTTATTATTAATAGTCCTGGTATGTTTTAGTGCTGGTATCGATATATGTGACAGTTTGTTTACTATGAGACAATAAATTTGAACTTTATATGTCATTATTACATGTATATGGCTTGTGTTTGTAGCCGATAAAAGCCACATTCCGATTGGCTAATGCAAGGGCATTATTTTCACATATTGACCACCAGCCAATTACAGGCTAACAAAAACAAAGCAAAAAGCCATAATTATATTAACAACTTACTGTAATGTTAACCTCAACCGTTTCATCTTTATGGAAAAATCTCAAACCTCAGCCTTGCTGTATTAACCTTGCTATCGCTTGGTCAATAAGGCAAACTTTTGGTCTGAGATTTTCTTGTTAAGACCTCACTTTGGGTTAACAAGTAGTTTATCACAATCAAGTCAGATATTGTATTTATTAGGACTAATTTTGTTCATTTCAGTCTGGTAAGAGCCAGGATACCTATGCAAGCAAGACTAAGGGAAAGCAACAAGTAAGTTAAATAAGAAGTGATCAATGTTCAGAGGTTCTTGACAAACGTACATGTAATGTACTGGAAATTTGGTTGGATTACAAATAAAATTTCCTCATTGTATCTCAGACCACCACACCACAGAAGAAACTTCAGCACGCTGTTGAGGATCAGCTTTACAGCATTATGAGGAAGGCAAGACTGCTAGGCAGTCTGAGGTGAGCCCTGTGCATCCGGTAAATAACACTAGTCAATAACAAAATGATATTAATTAAAAGGGTGGGGTGGGGGTGGGGCGGGGCGGGTTGGAGATCCCATATAAAAAGTACAGGGGTGCTTGTCATATCTTTTAGGGATTTAAAAA